TTTTTCTTTCAATTAGTTTGAAAAGTAATAGTCCATCCTCATTACTTGTTTCCTGGCTTTCAAAGAATTGACCTTTTACTACTTTTGATCCTGCTGTATAGACTGCTCCCCAATCATCCTTTTCTCTTGATGGTAATGTAGAGCTACATTCTGTGATCTTGAAAAGATAGTAATCCTTTCCCTTATCCCCAGAAGCTATTGAAACTACTGCATCGATGAAAACTATGTCATAGATATGTTCAGATTCCTCCTCAACTGGCGTAGATCTTGTACTTCTCCGCCCATGCTGTTCATGCTCCATTTGAAATGTTGTCCAGCAGCTAACGTAATCTTTTCTTAGGCAATTAGAATAATCTTCGGACAAGCAACATCTGCAATAACAAGTTAGTTTATGAGTGGAAATTTTTAAGTTCTCCTTATCAGACAGTACACTGTGTATGCTTCGTGTGCCTTTTACTTCTTTAAATAGACGATTCCTCCTATCGTGCAATATTTCCTCCACGTGAAAGAAAACCCGTCTTTTTTAAGTCTCACATTATGCGATTGGTAAACACTTTGGGAAGGCTCTTTCAGGGAATTTTCTGCAAAATTGTACAAATCAAGACTGCTTTGAATAACGACTTCACGTCTGATAACCGCCATGTCACATTTGTGCTTGATGTTGGCACCAGCTCCATCTTGCGGACCTTTGGCGTGTGATGTTTCGAAGTAGTTACGAATTGTTCTGAAGCCAAAATCTTCAAAAGACATTGAAATATCGCCCAGGCAATGACGGCTTTTGTATTGCGTAGCACAGCCATCTGTCCACTCGTGCATGGTCTCAACACGGCATCCAATGTCTTTAAGATAGTTTGCCACTTGTTCACGGCAATTGTGAACAGAGTGTGAATCGTGTGTTTTGTCCGGTGAAATAACGAACAAATGTTCTGTGATGATTTTTGGGCTTTCACTAGTACTTTCCTCGTCGTCGATTTCTTTGATTGCATGACGATACAAAATGGTAACATGAATGGAGACTTGAACTTGGCCATAATATAAAGACTGTATCTGATCCTGATGTTGACAACTGTAATTTTCAGAATAATCATGTACACAGCACACGTGTCCACAAGGTAAATTCTCTAGAAGATTCTTTAACTCTGCATTCTGCCAATTCGCTCTAAATTGATGCGCGGGATAACTTTCTAAAAGAAGGATGAAGTACTCAAACATCTCGGCGGGTGACGTTTCTTTCTGCACTAGTTGTAACTTTCTCTTATCGCCAATAAGAACATACTCAAATCGTTCCCATCGAACTCTCATGTCTGTATCTTTATTTGTTTCTTCGGGTGAGAGAAGCATCTTCTTTGTGCCACAATGTTGACATTTCCTGTCCAAACAGTTTTTATCGTGGTACTTTTGCTCTTCATTTCGATCACACAGAGTTAAGTTGACAAGATCTGTTAAATGTGTGAAGAAGATTTGAAAGTCATCATCTCTTTTCAAAGTTTGTCGAAATCTCATACAAGACTTAAACAAAAGCTGTGCCTCAACATGCGCTCGACAGCAGCAACTATTGCGATCTTTGGTTCTTGCAGGAACAACATAAAAAGGCTTACAGCCTTCGAAGTATCTTTRTCCCATTTGGATGTCGGGATACATTTTTTTGAATTAAAGATAAACTTCGGTTTGAGTCTTTTCAAGTATTTGTTTCTCGTGCTCGACATATTGATGAGGACCAAGTCGCTGTCTTGAAATGTCTCTCTTGTTTCCAGTTGGTCTGGATATCCCCTTTCCGGCCCAAAATTCGTCCGCAAGTTTCCTGTGTTCCTCGGGAATTGCATCGTTTCTAGTCTTAGTTTTCGTCAAAGTCCATGGAGTCTCGCTGGATAGTGCTTTTAAGCGATGTTGAGTGCTCATGGCTATCCTCCTTCTCGTGATTCCAAGTTCTTTAGAATGGGCAGTCTGCATACCATTTTGATTTCCGCACAACATAGAAATGCCAACATTCATGGCTACTCGAGAGTCAATGTTTCTTTAATGCTTTAAGGTTGTGACAACTTCTTTAACATTATCCATGACAGACGCAGCAGTTGAGTGTTTTTGACCCAAGTTGCCATTGTTGAATAAAATGTTTCGCGTTTTTGGACTATCAGCAATTAAGTTCTCAATCAATTCCGCCTTCTTTTCTGGTGTGGATGGTAGTATATCTTTCACTTTATCCAAGATCCTCTTTTTTGTTTGACTGTTAAGGCTAGCAGATGAATTATTAGCAGCTTTCTTCTTTTCGTAAGATCTTTTTGATCTTTCTCGGTGGAGTTTTTTACGGCGCTCTATGGACTTCTGAAGCCTGTCTTTTCTAGATGTTTTAGGCATCACAAGGACAATGTTTTTTTTTTCTCTTTTTTTTCATTTTTTCCTTTTTTTCATTGTTTTTTTTTTTTACATTTTTGTAGTTGTTAGTTAGAGGCACTCCCGCATGCCTAGCAAAAAGTGTTGTCCTGCTGAAAAGCGACTTCATATAATTCAGACAAGTTCGTGCCTTTTAGTTCAGCGTGTCCTTAGAATCGTGTGTTATCGTGCTCTTTGACGATATTTGGAAGAATTTGACCCATAAAGTGCCTTATGGCTGAGATAATGGTGCCTTTTTGAGTCTACTGTGTAATCCTATATTCATATAATCGTGCTTTTTTTTACAAAAAAGTGCCCATTTTCGTCCATTTGCGTTCCTTTTATTTCTTGACCGTGTAATTTTTAGGCCAAAAAAGTAATTTTCATGAATGTAAAAATTTTTTTAGCATCTGGGCTTTTACGAACATAAAAAGAAATGTTGACAGTTACAGTGGAAGATTTACCAAACGAAGTTTTATGCTACATATTCAGTTATCTATCAACTTTTGAAAAACTTGTCCGAGTTGGTTTGTCATCGATGGGAATTCCTGTCAAAAGACCGCTATGTTTGGAGGGACGCTGACTTCAATTATCAAAGGAGTTTACCAGAAGTGGTATTTTCCTGAGATACATTTGTTTCTACGGAATGTATATCTGTTGATGAGTGTCATTATCTAAACTGTATGTCTTTGAGGACAGCCATTGAGAAAGCCAAGTATCTTCGCTATTTGAGTTGTTCTTGGGTTATAAAGAGTGTTAGCGAGTGCATGGGTTTAGCAAACCTGCATATGAACTGTCTACAGTTCCTGAACATCAGCCATTGCAAAATTAATGACAATGTGTTCCAGTGTTTACCAAGTACTTGCCCCAAGTTACAAACTCTTATAATGCTCGATTGCTCCACCATCAGTCATTCTTCTTTTCGGGATTCCGGTTTTAAGATCCACAAAAATCTAAGAATTTTAAACATCGCTTACTGCTTGGATGGAGAAGAAAAAGCTGAAACTTTAATTGAGATTTTTAAGTACAATTTTAATTCGATAAAAGTCGATTATACAGGAGTGAAGTTGTCATACGATGATGAAGAATTGCTTTTCAATTGTCATGAAGATTGTTTTTCAAGAACTATTAGTTTCAGCGAATATTCGGATGAGTTTATATTTTAGTTTAGGAATCTA